AGAGTCGGCTAATGAGGTGAGTGTAAAGGGGGTAAAATCTCTGTCGAGGTCTTTTAGTTTATGCCTTTTTAATTCAGTTATGTTATTTAATTTTCAAGTAAGCGCGATTATGTGTGTGAGGCATCCCACCGCCTACTTAAGGTGGAGGCACGCGTTGTGCTATGTATGTGAATGTGTATGGTTGATGATAATGGAACCCCCGGGCGGTTGGGCCACTACTGGACGCGGTAGATGGTCGGGTCACTACTGGACGGCGATACGTAACGCAGTAGTTGACCGGGCATGGACTGGACGGCAATACGTAACGCAATACCATTGCCTTGAGGATAGGGACACCGGACGGCGATACGTAACGCGGTGATTCCCTAGTTATAAGTAAGTTAAGGTAGTAGTAGAGAACTTCTATGATTTAAGGGTAAAAGTTGAGAATCTCTTTGAGTTAAAGTTGAAATGAGTTATGAGGGATGAAAGTGAGAACGACTTTCATCTAAGGGAATGAAACGCTAATAACGTGTTTTAGTAAGGAGTTTGCTTAGGGAAGGACCTTAGGAAGTAACGACGAGACTGACCCCTTCTCACTCACCAGGTTGAGGTTGGGTTAGCGGAAGTGGATCCCGAGAAGAAGTAAGATGATGCGAGCGGCCGTGCCAGTACTGGTGAGATGTCAAGGAGCTGGGTGAAGAGTTAGAGTTAAAATTTGGAGGTTATTTTTTGATTATGACTATGAGTATATGTATTGGAGATTCAAGGTTCAAGATGCTGGGTTAAGTTGTTTAAGTATTTGGATTTTGATTGCCCAAGTGTTAGGGCTTTTCGTTTGAACTTCTTAAATAATGTCAGTTTGTTTACTTAAAAAGTGGTTTGGTTGCTCCGGAGTAACCGGTTTTTTTGGGTTTGAGTTGTGGTTTGATTTTCGAAAAAGGTCGGGTCGTTTCATTTTGGTATCAGAGCCGGCACTCCTCTGTTTCTTGGTCTCCAAGGAATACTGGAGTGACGATCTGAGTTTTTCAAGGTTTAATTTTTAAAGGAAAGGAAAAAGGATGTCAGGTTTATTGTTTGGCCAAGCGAGTCAAGGGTCTTTTAAGGAATTTTTTATTTCTCGAATCTCCAGTATACTCTAATCATGGTTAGGAAAATAACTCTAGGAGACCTTACGAGGTTTTGATACGTCTCGGGAAGGAGAAATAACAAATTCCTAAGAGGATCGTTTTTGTGGCAACTCTTTCATAAGTGAGAGGACGAGGTTCCAGTGCGCTGATAAGAATAAGGTTCAGTGAGAAGCCAAATATCTAATACGTCGACAGGCAGTAGCCAAGGAGTTACGGCAAATAACGACCACCATCTAGAGGAAAAGATGCAGGGGAGGATCGTGAGTTCACGAGGACCGAACATAGGGTTACGACCCATGGAATAGTGGAAAGTTAGACTTTAAGTAATGCTAGGGGCGCACACAAGAGAAACAAAGGAGGATCGTAGACCTTATGGTTACAATAGGCCACTGAGAAGAGGGACCGCGGAGCTGGGGAACCGGTCTGGCGACAAGCCTTGGAAAAGAAGGAGACCACCATCAAGATAAACGATGTAACGAATGAGGAGTGATTCGAGAGACCCTACAACTTATGGTAGCCACGGGAGGTCAAAAAAATACAAGGGACACAAGGAGTATCGCCAGACTAGGGTAGGTTAAGAGTTGCAATCTCGAAACTTGTCTAAGTAAAAGTCATCAAGCCAGGGGAGGAACGACAGGGAAGTAGAACATTAAAGGGGAGTTCTAATAAATGTCGGAGAAAGCAAGTAGAATCTTCGAGGAGGAAGGGCGTGAAGCTACCAACCTGGACTCGGGTATCAAGCTAGAACCAAGTATCGATAAAGGGATTGTGCAAGTAAAGGAAGGATAAATTCATGTTGTAGAAGGAGTACCTAAGGTGAGACTTGGAGTTATGACGGTCAACAAATTTCGAGGTCGAAATTTTCTTAAGGGGGGAGGAAAATGTGATACCTCGACTTCGATTTATGGTCCAACGATAAGTACTGAATGAGCTGGAGCAACAAACTGATTCGAAATTTTGTCTCATCACATCCTTGGATTGAGTGAGGGAATTAAAAAGGTCAAGGAACCATTCGATGCTACTCGATGCTAAGGAGCTTGGTGAGAATACCTTTTATGGTCAAGAGGAAATATTAGAAGTGAGGTAGACTATACGGGACAAATAACGGACATCATCGAATTTCATTGGGTGAGAGTGAATTCTCGAGACAAGGCAATGCAAGAATGAGGAGTATGGGAGATGAGTCCGAGCAAATTTCGGGGACGAAATTTTTATAAGGGTGGAGGAAATGTTACACCCCGCTCTTCCAAAAAGTAAAAATGAATATTATACTCTTGGGTCAAGTTGTCAAGTTCCACCGTAGCATTGATGAGGATTAAAAATGTGAACTATCAGTTCAAACGGTGTCGAGTTTTGACATAAAATAAGTAAGTTACGAACGTTATAAGTTCCCAAAATACCCTTGAAACCCTAAACCTAACCCAACCGGTCCCATACTCGTCCAACCCATTTCATAGATATATATATATATATATATATAACGATCGCATGAGAGGAGATAAAAGGTCACACAAGTGCCTCACCCTAAAACTAATCCCAGGCAGCCGAAAAGCTAGACCCAAAACAGAGAGGAAAGAAAAGAAGTTGCTGCCTCCACCTAGCTTTCTTGATCTCGCAATCGGGGGATTTCCTCAGCGATCGCCGACTGCCAGGAGAGAGGAAGCTGTGAAGGATGGAAGATGGGACGTCGCTTGTGGACAGGAACGCCAAGTAGACGAGTGGACTGGAGGGGAAAGCTTGCGGGTGGAATAACGGATCGACGTTTGTGGGAGCTCGAGGTATCAAGCTGAAGGAGGACTCCAAGAATTCATTGGAGGTGTATGATTATATACACAGGTGTTCCTAGCTCGTGGATCATGCCTAGGTGGAAAGCAACCCTTAATCATGTAAGGCTCAAGGTAAACAAGGTTAATATATTCGTTTTGGATGCCAAAAGCTATCAGACGTAATTGTTTTCTTGGATGAGATGAGGGTTGGTGGAAGAAGTTAGTATATTTTGCTATATATACAAACAAGCTATAGGAATGGCTTGTAGAACAGAAAGGATAGACAAAATTAATCTGAAGTTTCTATGTTGAGGTTATAGGCATGGGTAATTGATCGGAATTATACAAAATGGACATAGATGTCTAAGTCAAGGACGTAATGGAGGTGAAGGAAGGGATAAAGCCAAGAAATGGGATTCGTTTACACATAGGCCATGATCTATATAGTGGTTTACGTAAAGAATTCAGTGGGAGCTAGGAATGAATTTACTACTGGTTTAAGGGGCTTTCACAAATTTATTTGGGTGGCTATCTTATGTACTAATTATAGAATGGGTTTCGGATGATCTCCTACGAGGGTCTGTCGCCGACGGTATGAGACATGGAAGAGGAAATTGATATAGGGAGGAAGCGCAAAACGAGTTAAAGAGCGAGGAGTTTGAGCGTGGAATCTCGGGTTATGACGTGGATCAACCGGTAGTGAAGAGGAGTCGTGTCGATCGGTCAGAGTCGGCTAATGAGGTGAGTGTAAAGGGGGTAAAATCTCTGTCGAGGTCTTTTAGTTTATGCCTTTTTAATTCAGTTATGTTATTTAATTTTCAAGTAAGCGCGATTATGTGTGTGAGGCATCCCACCGCCTACTTAAGGTGGAGGCACGCGTTGTGCTATGTATGTGAATGTGTATGGTTGATGATAATGGAACCCCCGGGCGGTTGGGCCACTACTGGACGCGGTAGATGGTCGGGTCACTACTGGACGGTGATACGTAACGCAGTAGTTGACCGGGCATGGACTGGACGGCGATACGTAACGCAATACCATTGCCTTGAGGATAGGGACACCGGACGTCGATACGTAACGCGGTGATTCCCTAGTTATAAGTAAGTTAAGGTAGTAGTAGAGAACTTCTATGATTTAAGGGTAAAAGTTGAGAATCTCTTTGAGTTAAAGTTGAAATGAGTTATGAGGGATGAAAGTGAGAACGACTTTCATCTAAGGGAATGAAACGCTAATAACGTGTTTTAGTAAGGAGTTTGCTTAGGGAAGGACCTTAGGAAGTAACGACGAGACTGACCCCTTCTCACTCACCAGGTTGAGGTTGGGTTAGCGGAAGTGGATCCCGAGAAGAAGTAAGATGAGGCGAGCGGCCGTGCCAGTACTGGGGAGATGTCAAGGAGCTGGGTGAAGAGTTAGAGTTAAAATTTGGAGGTTATTTTTTGATTATGACTATGAGTATATGTACTGGAGATTCAAGGTTCAAGATGCTGGGTTAAGTTGTTTAAGTATTTGGATTTTGATTGCCCAAGTGTTAGGGCTTTTCGTTTGAACTTCTTAAATAATGTCAGTTTGTTTACTTAAAAAGTGGTTTGGTTGCTCCGGAGTAACCGGTTTTTTTGGGTTTGAGTTGTGGTTTGATTTTCGAAAAAGGTCGGGTCGTTTCACAAACCTAACTCAAACCAATGCAACTCTCCAGACCTCTATAGCAACAAACAACCTAGATCGTAGGTAGAGGACTTCCTAGGTCATTTAGCAGCTTACGAGGTCAACCGACGCACAAGTCATCTCAAAGCTTCTTATCGAGTCGGCATCATGGCAAACAGTGAACAAAGGACAAATGAATTGTGGATGAAGAGATTCTCAAAACAAAAGATCATGGACTCACATTTTTCAAGGTGCTCTATTTTCTGCTTAAGGATGGTTGGAACCCCTTTTCTTTCTATTTTGCTTGTTTTCTGTTATTTTTCTTTTCTTTTTTCTTTTTCAAGGGTCCCAACCTGCTCTTACCGGCCATGCCAGGAGCGGATGTCTCAAGCCTCGTGCGGGGGAAAGACATGTAAGGGGGCTGGAGGTAGTAGGTGGAAATTGGGAACGAATTCCCGTCTCCCCTTACACACTTTCGCCCTATTCGCACGGGAGACGTTTATTTTGAAGCACATTTTCGAGCACCTGTTATTTTCAAAACATGATACAAGAGTCCATGACAGGCAGAGAATCCACAACACCACACAATTCAAGGGTCCTAAGATCACTAATTCACTCAATCAACCAACTCAATATGAAGAAGACATGAGACTTCTTAAATGCATCAACATCCTCCATAGTGCTACACTACCTCCCTAGGTTGCATATTACTATAAAGACTGTCAATTCAAATCATACTGAGCAGGCAATTGCAAGCAAACACGTACTTGGAGCCCTCAAATTTAGAAATTTGGACAGTGGACTAGGCTCCAAGCACACAAACAGCCAAACATTCACCCGCATACATAATCGAACATCCCCCCACACTTAAGCACGACATTGTCCTCAATGGAGGAAAGATAAGGAGGGTAGAACAAAGTTACCAGATCAAGGGTGAATGATGATGAACGGGTCAGGAGGTGCCATCCAGAAAGAGAGAGTAATCAGAACACAAACACCACACAAAATCTCACAAAGGTTGAGTTATTGACTCTAAAATCAAATAGCAAACTGACTCAACCGAGGAGAAATAGAGACAGAAATGCAAACCGACTGGTTGGGTTGCCTCCCAACAAGCGCTTCTTTCACGTCGTGAGCCGGACGATGGCTCCTAAGTTTCGGTCCATGCTAGAACCTCCTTGAAGTTGAGGTTCTCGTCGATGAGGTGGAGTCTCAAGTCACGAGCATGTGGTGTGGCAGGTGATGAAGGCTCATGTACTTGATGCAGATGAAGTCTCCACCCTCGAGACCTCTTCTTCTCTTCTCTCGTATCATTGCCCCAAACCAGATAAGACAGCATCGATTGGCCACCATCGCGTCCACCAAGAGGGACCGATGTCAAGGTGGCCTTGGTCTGGCAAAGAGACACTGCAAATGGGTCCTTGCTAAGTAGTTCCTCGAAGTTTGGTGGAGATATCACATGTAACTCATGGCCGGTGCAGGCCTCTTCCACCTCAACTTCATCCTTAGCCTGGACGCCAATTGCTTCTTTAACCTCCCTTCCTTCTTCATGTGGTATCACCCCTGGGAAATGATCAAGAACTTCTCCAGCTTCACTTTCGCCATCCTCCACAACTTCTTTCTGCACCCTTTCTTGCTCTTCTTCTTCTAGCACGGATTGGAGAGCAAGTTGCCAAGCAATTTCTTTCATGAGATCTTCTTGCATCTCCTCACTCATGCCCGCCTCTTCAAAGCTCAGTTTAGGGTGTGGGAAGGTGTGGTCGGCTACGACAGGACATTCCTGATCATGACCATCACGGGAGCTCTCCGTGAAAACTTCTGTGTATTCCACAATGTCCTTGTAGCCTTCTTCTTCCTCCTCCTCTTCTAGTATGGTAGCAGAAGGGTGATCTGGAGCAGGTTGTGCCCAAGATCGCTCAAGATCATCGACGCTCTTCTTAAGGCTCAGGAGGATCTCCTCTGTTTCACGATAGGCCTGGACACACTGATCCATCCTGGAGCATGTTCTCTCACAGTCTCGAGCAAACTGCTCCATGAGTAACTCCAGCGCTGATGGCCCTTCTGGTTGTGGGAGAAATTCTTCTTGATAATGAGGTTGTTCTTGATATGCCCAGGGGTCCGGTTGTTCTCCGTAGTAAGGGGGTTGGTACTGGAACCCAAATCCATAGTCTTCTCCGCCTTGATTGCTCCACGGAGTCTCGGGGTAATACCACCCAGATGGTGGTGGATACCCCCAATGATTGGAGAAGCCATTAGGATCCATGATTCAGATCTGCACCAACAAAAACAAAAACACCCAAGTGAAAAGCAAGGGTGGAAAAGAAAAGAAACGAAAAACGCTAAAGTAACAAACTTCTGCCTTTCCTAATACTCTAGAAAGTCCCCGGCAACGGCGCCAAAAACTTGACTCGCTACGACACAATACCTAACAAAGGCCAAGTGTAACCAATGAAAGGGACTGCAGTATAGTGGCTCAAGTGATAAATATCGAATCCACGGGTCTCTAGAGTTACTATTACTCAGCTTCAGTTTATTATTTAGCAAATCAGATTAAGATGAAAGAACTAAAACTACTCTAGCAAACTACAGTTAAAGTTAATCTAATTACAAGTTGGGAACTCACTTAGGTATGATTCCCCCTAGCCACTAGCCAGACTAACGATTGATGATTTCTAACTTGTTTCACTTTCATTCACAATGCGGAGAATCCTTGACTAGACCTTGAGTCTCGACTAAAGGAACAAGGCCCTCTTGAGTCAATTGCCTAGAGGGACGTATCCTTCTCTAGAACAACTGATCAAGGCGTTCTGAACTAGACTCCCTCTATCGAAAGAGGTTCTCAATCGATACAAAGCAGTGAATCAACCCTCGACTAAAGCAATCGATCCACTACTATCAATCTATGGTGCTCTATTGACCTAATCAGGTATTCCCTCTCATAGAATCAAAGCAGAATCAATAATCTCGACTAAAGCAGAAGTGAATCATGAAAACATGCATAGATTGAATATGAACTCAAGATTATCAAGTCAGAGTAATCATACAATCATCCAATCAAACAAACATAGCTAGGGTTCCTCAAAACCTAAGTGAAGGGAAGTTACTCCATAGAGAAGAGAGAGACTGCAGTAAGAATCTTTAGATGATCAGTCTTCAAGTCCGGGCTTGTTCCTCGAGCTTCCAAGGCGAAGAAATCCTCCAACTCCACTCCAAGAATGCCCTCAAATCGCCCTCTCTCTCTTTGGTTCGTCCCTTGGGTGTTTGGGATCCAAAACCCAGCTCTCCTCTTCTCCTTTGGCTGAAAATCGGGTTTTAAGCAGAAAATCCCGACTCACACGGCCAGGGTGGCACGGCCGTGTGGCTTACCCAGTTGCCCGTGTGAGTCAAAACGCTGCGTTCCAATTAGTTCGAATTCCAGGCTCTTTGCACGGCACAAGTGGCACGGCCGTGTGAACTTCCTTTTTGCCCGTGTTTGCTCACGCAGAATTCCACACGGCCAGACTGGCCTCTTGCACGGCCGTGTCGATCTTCTGCTTTGCCTGTGTCTGCTCTCGCAGAATGTCACACGGCCAGACTGGCCTCTTGCACGGCCGTGTGAACATCAGGGTAGCCCGTGTGACTTCCTTTGCAACTTGTCTTGTGCCCGATCTTCGCCCAATCGACCCCGAACTCGCTCCTAAACCTTCATTCACTTGCCAGGACCTGAAATATCACAAACAAGCACAACCTAGCGTGAAATCGGTCTAAAACACGAGAAACCACATCTCAAACGGTGTAAGAACAGGGGTGAAAACATGTGTAACTAACGGTCTATCAATTGCTATGGGAAAGATGACCGCGAAACGCTAGGGGACGCAAATATGGTGGTAACCACACTCTCGATTGCTAAACCGAGGGATACATTATAGGTTGTAACTCGGCCCTCTCGGTTTAGGCAATCAATGGTTGACTTACTCCCTCACTCGGCCCTCTTGGTGAAGGAGGCTTCCAATCTTCTTGGCACTTGTGTTGAACTTCTCTTGGGGAGAATCTTCCCTAATCCACACTTGGAGCAAAACCCTAGCCTTCTCCTCCTTTGGTTCGTCTTTCTCTCACTAAAATATGAAGAATAAGACTTTCCCACTCAATGGGCTCCCTTCTCTCTCTTCCTTTCAGCTCTTCTTTTAAATAGGGATTGTGGTCAGTTCACGGCCGTGAACTCTGAAACGCGTCCGTGAACTCAAGATGGGCGTCAAAATGCACCGCTTCGCTTGCACGGGTTCACAGGCAACATGAGAGCAGCATGAGAGCGATTATTGCTGATCCGGAGAGGAGCGCTGGATTTTGGGATTCGGATTTCTCCAGTTCATCCTCTCTCGATTTCCTCGACGACAGAGCTGATTTCTTCTAGAGTCCACTGCCATATCTTATGTCGAGAAAGAATGGTGACAAACGGAGAAAGAATCAAAGTGAATTGCAATTTTTCTGCCATTATGTCGGTGAGGGAGAAGAGCTGGAGAGAGTTTGTCGTCAGAGAAGAAGAGGACTATTGTCGGAGACAAAGAGGTTGGAATGCAGAGATGCAGAGCAATTTTTATATGCAGACAAAGAGGGTGGAATGCAGAGATGCAGAGATGAAGAGGACTAATATCGGAGACAAAGAGGGAGAGTGAATATGAGTCGAGAAAGTGGTTAATTTAAATTTTAATTAATTAATTTTTTTTTTATTTTACTCTTATGTTCTTAATGAAGTTTGTTGTTACTCTAACAACAAATAGGGCGTTGTCATAGTATCTTGTCCCTTCGTAGATCCGATAGGGAGCAAGCCGGGGAAAGTCGACCCGCCAAGGGTGTCATTGTCCCTAGTGCAATCCCCAGATACAGAAGCATAACTTTCTCATCTGTCGACACCGTCAAGTATTAGGGAAGATATCAAATCGGTAGCTGAGGGTGACAGTGGTGGTGAGTTATCTTCTCTATGTCAAGGAAAGAGAGGATAAATTCTAAATGTCTCACGGGGAGAGAGATAGGGGAGAGAGTAATTTAATTTTGCTTTTTTATATTATTTTTCCTTTTTAATAACAATTTTTGCCAAGTGAGCAAGCTGACTTTATTATCTGTTCATTTTACTAATAAATTTTTCACGTCATCAATTATGTCATCATTGCCTAGAGGTAACAATTGAATTGGATCTATAGCTGACTTTATTATCTGTTGATATTGTCGGATTCCACGAATCTTCTTCAATCTTTGCTTCTGAAAGGACAATACCATCAAATACCAACTCTTATTTAATTGAGTTGTTGGCGGTCCGTGAGGCACTATACCTTCTTCTCCATTGGGGTTGGACCACCCGACCGATGCTCATTACAAGTGATGCACAACATGTTATCCATCAACTGGTGACTCGTACCATGTCTGATTCTCGGGGCGGAGCAATCCTCAGAGAAGTTCCTAGTCTTTTGTGTCATCTACCATTAGTACAGTTCATGTACACTACTCGACAAGAGAATCGGGCTGCGCATTTTGTGGCACGGAATGCCCTTCGTTATCCTGGCTTCCATTATGATCTTTATGATTTCTTGTATCTTCTTGGTTTGTAATTCAATGGAGGTATCTACTACTGTGGTACCCTACCCTTAACTCATCTTATTTGAAAGGGTAATGTAGACAAAAAAAAAAAACGAATTGGATCCATAGATCGGTGGATTAGATTGGTAAATCTATGGATCATATGGATTGGTTGATTGATCCATGGATCCAGATGACATCCAAGTCTTAGACCAATATGTAAATTTTGAATAGTTTATGTACTAAAATGTCATAATGATAAATAAATTTTAGGTATGAAAATGTAAAATAGAAAAAATATAGTTACTAAATTGTAATTTTTCATTTGGATAAAATGGATTGGATTAGTTTGATATTTAACCGGATGGATTGAATTTGTGGATTGATTTATAAATTGTCACCACAATCGCTTATTTTCTGTTAACCATTAACCAAAAACTTTAATGTTGTAATGTTGTTATATAAATGACATGTGGAAAATTGTGTAACATAAATGAGAAAGTGGATAAAGTTTGTATTTTTTAGGGCAAATACAATATAATATCCATAACTATTATGGATCGGGGATTTATATCCTCAACTATCAATATACAAATTAATATCCATAACTATAGTTACGGGTCAAGATATGGCTAACAGTCTGTTAGCACAGTTAAATTTGTAACGGAGACTGCCATGTTAGCATCCATATTGGCTTCCACATCAGCAAATAATTAAATATATAATTTTTATTTTTAAATTAAAAAAATTAAAAAATTAAAGTTGAAAAACAAACTCAACCAATCTCCCTTCCCCCCCCCCCCCCCTATCTTCCTCCACTGTCACCTTGCTTCCTCCGCCCTCCCCTGTCTCTCTCTTCTTCTTCTTCCCATATCTTCCTCCACCGTCACTGGCTTCCTCCGCCCTCCCCTGTCTCCCTCTTCTTCTTCCCCTATCTTCCTCCACCGTCACCTAGCTTCCTCCGCCCTACCCAGCCTCTGTCGTCTCTCAACTCCTCGTTAATCGGGGCTAGCCGTCCCTCCGCCGTGGCAGCACCACTCGTCGTCCACTGCATCCACCGCTCCTACGACTCCGTCAACTGCCCCACTGGCGTCGTCCGCAGCAGATCAAACTGGCAGAGCTCATGCGCCATCCTCTCCAGCAAAGTCGCCACTCAGGAGCATCCTAGATCTGGAAGAGAAAATGAACTCGATTTCATAGATTCGGTCAACGGTCACAAGACTATTGACCTGGATTTGGTCCCGACCTACGGTACTGCAACTGCCGTCGATTGCAGAAGGCGTTGACTATCACCGACCTCGCTCTAGCTCCGATGCACGGAGCGCAGCTCCGAGTCGCATACCGGGGAGTCCCCGGTGCGTACTCCGAGGCAGTGGTGGCTTCTTGTCGATGATGAGCTCTCCAGACCTGGATCAAAGATTGGGGATTTGGATTGACGATGGGGGGTTTGTTTCGTTACTTCGGATGGGTGAAAGAAAAAGGATTGGGATTTTTGGTAGGGGGGACTCAGGCAATGGCAGTCTCGCCGCCACGCCTGCAGGACGGTGAGTGGATCCTCGTCGGCGACTTCGTGTCTTTGCAGACAAAGGGGGAGATGGACAGACGAGAGAAGAAGGGGTTGAGGATAAGAATTGGATGAATGGATGTGAGAGGAGAGGAGGGGTAATATTTGTTTTATTTTTTTACGTTTTATGCTATTATTTACTTAATCACTTCCACATGGATGCCACGTTCTCAATTCCACCTCAGTTTTTTTTGCCAGGTCAGCATTGCAGAAAGAGCTACTAACGGGGTATTTAACGGACAATTAACGATTGGATATTAATTTGTATATTTATAGTTGAGGATATAAATCCCCTATCCATAATAGTTATGGATTTATATTATATATTTGCCCTATTTTTTATAATATTAGGAAAATAAAAGGTAGTTGCTCGACCGGTCGACCGGCATGATTTTGGATTGAATTTGATTGATTTTACCATTTCCCTTTCCGAGCGGGAAAAGTACAAATGAAGAAGGCAATAGCCAAATTGATTTTGAAGATTCCAATTCCCAGTCACATTCGTTCACCATTTGGCGAGAGAGGACCGTTCCGTTCCGTTCCCTTCCCTTCCGTTGGCGTTGAGCGTTCAAAGACTAAAGTCCAATTGTGAAAGCACATTCTTGAGTTGACTGAGTGACTGTTGCCTCCTCGCCTACATAATCTCCATGGATTTGGCCTTCCTCCTTCCTCACCATTCCTTCCAATCTTGTTTACAATAGGCTCCAAAACAGTCTGCTGCAACCGCCACTTTCCTCAGTCCCCACTCTTTGATTCTCTGCCGTCGGGGAATGATGGCGCAGGCCAGTCGCTTCTTTGAGCTGAACACCGGAGCTAAGATCCCTTCGATCGGTCTCGGGACTTGGCAAGCTGCTCCTGGCGTCGTCGGCGATACCGTCACCACCGCCATTAAGGTGATTTCCGTTCGTTCTTGATCAAATGCCGGTTGATCCTTCCCATTTCGATTTTGCGTTAGTATTAGTTCATACGGCAATTGTGTACGACGAAACTGCGTGATGGATTCCAGGGCTTTGCCCTGTCTGGATAATACGATTGTGAACGACCAATTCGTCTGTTTTTTTGTGGATTCCTTTCTTTTTCGCTGCCACTCTATAAGCCAAAGGGACCCTAGCTTTGAGATTAATATTCGATGTGCTGCGTGGACGCAGGTTGGATACAGGCACATTGATTGTGCGCAGGCCTACGCTAACGAGAAGGAGGTGACGATTCTCGCAACTTCGCTTGCATGTTTTAATTTTCGTAATATCGGTTTCGTCATATCTAGGGTTTTGCCTTTGTGGCGGTGTCTGCAGATTGGCTCTGCGCTTCAGAAGCTGTTTGCTGATGGAGTCGTCAAGCGTGATGAGGTGTGGATCACTTCTAAGCTCTGGTAATGCTCTCAGACTCTCAGTGTCAAAAGGGCAGAGTGATCTCTAAAGACTGCCGAATTTGGGTGTGTAGACATCACAATAGCTAGTCTATGGCCTATTGATTCTCAGGTGTGCTGATCATGCTCCTGAAGATGTGCCAGAGGCATTAAATAGGACTCTGAGGGATTTGCAGCTTGACTATGTGGATCTCTATCTAGTACGTGGACTTGTCTATCGGTGGCTATATGATTTACAAACGTTTGATACTTTGTTTCTTCGGCTACTAAACGGAGGTACTTGGTTTTGATTACAGATTCATTGGCCTGTGAGGATGAAGAAGGGCTCCGTGGGGTTCAAGACTGAAAACCTTGAAACCCCTGACATACCTAGTACATGGAAAGCTATGGAGGCCCTCTATTATTCAGGCAAAGCTAAGGCCATTGGAGTCAGTAACTTTTCATCGAAGAAGCTCGGAGATTTGCTAGCAGTAGCTCGTGTTCCCCCTTCTGTTAACCAAGTTGAATGTCATCCCGTATGGCAGCAGCCAAAGCTCCACGAGTTCTGCAAGTCCAAGGGCATTCATCTCTCGGTAAGCTGGAATTTCATAACCTGAGTTTTACTTTTCCTTTCAAGGAAAAGGGTTCGTGATCCAAGTCTTTTGCAGGGCTATTCGCCACTGGGCTCTCCGGGAAGTATTAAGACCGAGGTTCTGAAGAATCCGGTTCTCAACACAGTTGCAGAAAAATTAGGGAAGACCCCTGCCCAAGTAGCCCTGCGATGGGGAATACAAGCGGGGCACAGTGTGCTGCCAAAGAGCACAAACGAGAACAGGATCAAGGAGAACTTTGATGTTCTGGACTGGTCCATCCCTGATGATTTGCTTCCCAAATTTGCTGAAATTGAGCAGGCAAGTGGACTTTTAGTTTCGACGCCTTGGCCCCGATTGAACTGCATAGGGTACTTGTTAAATGCGTTTTGTGCACCCTGAACAGCTTATTCCATACTTGGCTGAGCAGTTGAGAAGCTCGTCATCGGCAGTGAGAGCTATATATAACTGCAGACCTCATTCTTTTGTGCTCTGATTTTTGCAGGAAAGGCTGATTAAAGGTTCAGTCTTTGTGAGTGAGAGTTATGGCGCGTATAAGTCTGTGGAACAACTTTGGGATGGTGAACTGTGAGAACATATAGATCGCTGGGCTTCCTGTTGAATACTCTTGGGTCTTGTACTGCTTAGTTTTTGTGCTATCCAGGGGGTGTTAATAGGGGGTGTTAAAACGGTGTGGTTACCGTGGTAACCATTTTAACCAGTAGTATTTGGCTAATTTGGTTTGGTTAATTTCTATAATTGATTTGGTTTGGTTAAAAAATTTAGCTTGTTTGGTTTAGGTGGTTTGGTTTGGTTTCTGACACTCCTAACCAATCAAACCAAATTAACCAGTTAAGTAATTTGCCATATATATAATATATATTGTATACACATACTTAATACTTTTGATAGAACTCACGTCAGAGCGCTACCGATTGATTTGGGGAATTAGGATAAACTAGGGATTGATATGAGGATTTGGGGATTTGGGAGGTGAATAGAATAGGGTGCTCGAGAAAGAAGAGGGGAAGGGAAGAGTGCTGCCTGCGGCCGCCGAAGGGAAGAGAGGGAAAGGTGGCTTGGCGGCCAGAGAGAAAAGGAGAGGGAATTTGGGAGATTAGGTTTAGGTTCAATCTTGCTTAGTGGCCTAATCCCACTTACAAGTAATATTTAATAATTGGATAATTACCTACTACTAACAAACATATAATTTATTCCCAATTTCCAAAATGGTCCCAATAATCTGAAATAGCTATAATCTGACAACTAAACAAAATACTAAAATTATTAGGTTGCTCCTCGAGCTCACTGGGTCGCCTCTTCTCCCATCCCGTCATTCTCGGTTGCGTCTTCCGCTTCATCTTCCCAACGCCCTACTAACTTCATCAGGTCCGGCTTCGGGCATTGATGGCCGATGGTGAACCGACCGTCACAATTGAAACATTTGCCCTCTCGCCTCTTTTGCTCGACCTCGGCCGAAGACAGTTGCACGAACCCCTTGGGAATGGCTCGCGGTCCCATCCTCGCCACCGGCGCAGGGCCTCCACTGCCAATGTTAGCTCCAGTCGAGCCTCCCACTGGCGCCCCTCCCGTGCCGCCACTGTTCCCGCTGCTTCCTCCAACTCCGCTCGACTTCGAGAAGCGACCAATAGTGCTCCTCCAACTAGCCAGTTCTTCCTCCTTATGACCTGCAAGACGAAAAACAGTTTTCAAGGAATCAGGCTCGAACACTCTGACTGTCGCTGCTATTTCGGGCTTAAGACCCGTCATCGACAGGCCCACCAAGGTGTCCTCTAAGACTCCTTTACACTGGTTCCCCAACTTGAAGAACTCCACACGGTATTCAGCCACCGTGATGGTCTGCTTCAGCTTCGCCAACTGCTCAGGAGCCCACCCATCTGACTTCCCAAACTGATAGCGGAGCTCTTCTTGAAACATAGGCCAGGTGATCAAAGTTGTTGCGCCGGCGTAGGATCTCTCCATCCACTCCCACCACTGGAGCGCATCTCCCTCCAAATAAAACGATGCCAGATAGGCCTTCCTTTCCTCCGGAATAGGGTGGATTTAAAACCACCTCTCAACTACATACAACCAAAGGCCTGCATCCTCTTGCCCATTGAATTTTGGGAACTCAATGGTAGGAGGCTTAGCCCGAAAAACTATTCCATCCATTCCTTCATTGTTCATATAGTGGGACCCATACCTGTCATTTCCTGGAGTCCTCCACGGCTGCCCAAAAGAGGAGCCCTATATCCGACTTGGATTCCCATGCCCATAGTCACCCGGGTAGCTGCCTTGTAGGTTCGGGTACCCTCCTGGAACGTGAGGTGCCCCGTACGGACCCTCCCAGCTGGCTGATTCCCTACTGTCCATCCTTCTGGGTTGCTGAGCAGTCGGACTTGGTCGATGTCCGGTACCTCCGGTCGACCCATTCCGGCCCGACCAGGCCCGGTTCGGCTCATCACGGTTCGACCAGCATCGGTCCGCCCTATCCCGGTTCGATCGCTCTCGGTCCAGCCCGCCTCGGCCATGCCCACTGCGGTCCGCCCAATAGGAGCCGGCCCCGCCCGCCCAATCTGGTCGGCGGTCCTCCTAGGCCTACCAGGCCTCCTCTGGTCCATCTCTGGTTCATCCCACTTGGCATGTCGATCCGCCAGGCTAAGTTCGTCATACTCAGGCCCATCTTCCAGATCCAACCACCCCAGCCCGCTATGGATCTTCGTGTGGTGGTCCATCGGTTCCGGCCCAATATTTATGGGCGGCCCGTCGGTGTCATAACCGGGCATCTTGGCCTTCCCTTTTCGGGCCGCAATCTCTTGGACCATGGGTGTAGGTAACAGACCCGGGCCCACTCCTAACCCTGCATGCGCTGGGCCCGTCCCTGCTCCTCCTCCACCTGTTCCCGGCCCGAGCTCGGAAGCCGCCTCGCGCGTAGCGCCGCGGATCGCTCCGCCGCCGGCGCTTTCTCCGACGCCTCGAGAGACGCGCCGTGGCCGGCTGCAGCCGCCCCCTGCGCCGCCGATCCTCCCTTGGCGACCGCGCCGCCTCCGCTTCCCGCGGCTCCCGACGCCTCCCCCTCGTCGCCGAGCACGCCGTCCTGGTCGGATCCGCCCGCCGTGGCGACCGTCGACGAGCCCGCGCCTCTGGTTGCCCCGCCGTCGCCTCCTCCTGAGCGCCCCAGGGCCTCAGCCAGCATCACCTTCAGCTCACCAATCGCGAGCCACACTTTCTGCGACTCCGCCTTCCGGGCTCGCTCACCCTTCAGCCGGGACCGGCGCTCCTACTCCATGGCCTCTGCCATTTTGGTCAAACCGGTGCGGAGCTCCTCACTGATCGTCTCATCAACCATCTCCCCATCCCGCGGACGGAGAATCTCGGGCACGCATTCGCTGGTGGACGGAGGTCCGGTGGTCGCGATCACTGCATGCTCCTGCGCCGCATTGGCGGCCTTCTCAGCTGCTTGCATGGACTTTGTTGACACCATCTCGACCGTCGTTCTTCGTTTGCTCTCAAACCCACGAACGGGGCTCTGATACCAAATGATAGAACTCACGTCATATCTCTACCGATTGATTTGGGGAATTAGGATCAACTAGGGATTGATCCGAGGATTTGGGGATTTTGGAGGTGAATAGAATAAGGTGCTCGAGAAAGAAGAGGGGAAGGGAAGAGTGGGAAGAGAGGGAAAGGTGGCTCGGCGGCCAGAGAGAAAAGGAGAGGGAATTTGGGAGATTAGGTTTAGGTTCAATCTTGCTTAGTGGCCTAATCCCACTTACAAGTAATATATAATAATTGGATAATTACCTACTACTACTACCCAACATATAATTTATTCCCAATTCCCGAAATGCTCCCAATAATCTGAAATAGCTATAATCCGACAACTAAACAAAATACTAAAATTATTAGTTTCTATCAACTTTGCATAACCACTCAAGAGTCAAATGTAAGTGACTCACTCCTACTGTCACTCTAGGAATTGGCCAAGTGTAACCACTTCCTAAAGCGTAGTATAGCGGGTTGGCCAAATGTAAGTGAATTCGGTACAGAATAGTGAGTTGGCTCCTCGACTAAAGTCACCAACTCCCTACCTTCAATCAAGGATGCTCTATCAACCTAGGCAGATATTCTCATTCTAGGTTAAAGCGGAAACAACAAGAATTTGATCAGGATTCATGTCATTCAATCATTCAACCCTCAATTGAATATAATCAAATCATAGAATCACTACTTGGGTTCATACAATCAAACCTAACATACAAATCTAGGGTTCTCCATACCCAGATGAATGGGAGAACTACTCCTTGGAGAAAGAAGCAAAAGCAGAATCAGACGCAGAATTCATACTGTGAAGGATGGATTCCTGCTCCTGGACGTTGATTGGCACTCCTCCAAGCTCAAGCCAAGCTCCAATGGTGATGAAGATCAAGCTAGGGCACTTGGAGACTCTTGTTCGTCGCTTTCTCTCTCTAGGAATCGCTATGTCTCTCTAAAACTCGAATCCCCCCACTCTTTTGGCTGAAATCTTCCTAAAAACCCGATTCTGGGCAAAACACGGTCGAGGGCACGGCCGTGCTTTGCTTTTGCCCCCCCCCCCCCCCCGTGTTAAAAACACGCCCGCGCGCGTCGGCCAAAACACGGTCGTGCCTAAATATGGGCACGGCCGTGTTTTGATTTAGGCGCGCCCGTGTTTTTACTGCCGAACCTGTTCCCCTATATTCAATGCTTTGTTTCTCCCTTGTCCCGACTCCGAATCAGTCGCCGTTTGATCCCAGACGCTCGTAGTCTCGTCCTCTTTCTTTTCATGCCAAGCTTGCATGATTCTTTGTCCATAAAGTGAGGTAGAAATCCATTCTTCTTCAGGTCCTGCTCGAGTTTCTTCTCCCGAATCGCCAATTGATCTCTGATTGACTTGAAACTTGCGCCTATGCTTCACTTTATGTGCTAGGATCTGAAATGTGACAAAGGAACACAACCTAGCGTAAAATAGGCCAAAGACGCGATAATTAAATCTCAAACGATCAAGAAACAAAGGGGAAAACATGTGCAAATATCGAGTCATCAAACCCCCCCACACTTAACCGTTTGCTTGTCCCCAAGCAAACCAAGTCAGACACAAGGTAAGCTCAAAACGTTTCAATCAAGCAGGCTTTAGGGCATATCATATCGGCACAAAACACATGGATCATATTGGCTTTCGATCATTAACACATGGACAACCTCAACGACAAACTAGACAACCACCACAGATGACATTCAAATGCAATAAAGTCGAGCAAAGGAAGGGTTCCCTTCTGTTCACCAACCAACATAGACTTGACTCAACCACTTATTCAAAACAGTCACTTCATGCACAAAGCTCAAGATATCAGAATTAAGACCGAGCAATCTAGGTCCTCACCGGGATAAAGAGTATAGAGAATATGAGAAAATGAATCGCTCACTCTCGACCAGTGGGGCCAGGACAATTTGATGCGAAAAATGCGCATGCTTATTCTCTCAATCCCTAACGTCTCTTCACCATGAATGCAACCTCTAAATGCTAGAGTTCACATATGGGGTGTCACCACTAACTAATCCGGAGGTCTTAGACACAGGTTCAGATGACTGGCTAGGGTCTCGGACATGGGGAAAAGGCCTTTTAGGTGGTGGAAGTATTCATAGCACAAGGTTCCACATTTCCCAACAAACTCACAGTCAATCAAACCAATAACTTTCTTTCTGCTATTCTGCATTACTCAAATTCTTCAGAGCACAAGAGCGAAGGAGGTCACATAAATGCTAGTATTTCTAAGCCAGACTGCTAAGAAACACTACTAAATGGGCATTATTCAGATTTTTTATGGTGGCTCTCTTTTGCTTTCATTTTTTCTTTGTTTTTCTTTCATTATTTTTCATTTCTTAAGAGAACCACCACCTCTGCACATTTTCAAACACCTGCCCAACTTTTAAGAACTACCTCCAACCCTCACATTACGTTTAGCAGAAACAGCAGAAAACACGTAAAAATCACTCTGTGGAACCTTCTAAAAGATGCAAAAGGGTGACTTTTCATTGAAGACCGAAAGAAAGGAAAACACACGGCTCAAAGGGGCTGACTAGGGGGTATGACACACCAGGACAGTCAATTTGGTCGTGGGCTAATCCTATGCCTCCATCATCCTAGCTAATGACAACGTGAATGCTGCATATCATGGAAGAGGAAACTATCGCACAAGAAAGAAACGAGCAGGCTCAAGTCTCACATGGCTACCTATATGCTCTATCTCTCGTTCTGATTCCCTGAACTAGATGCATAAATGACTGTCAAAAGCAAGTGATCAAACCAAGTCACATTTGGTGAGCAAACAGTTGAAAAACTGAACTCCTACACAGTTCTACTGCACATCTCAGTCATCATAATAAGTTGTCTAAGTCACACTCAAGTTGGCATGCATCAAGTCAAAAGCCATTCAATTCACTAATCACATCCACAGTGCCAATACGATCAAACATCAGGCAAACAGCAGTGCTTGGAGCCCTCAAATCTCGAGATTTTGACAGTGGACTAGGCTCCAAGCACACAAACAGATCTAACGCAGTCAAAAGAGAAACATCCCCCCCACACTTAAGATCGACATTGCCCTCAATGGAGAAGAGGGAAGGATAAGGGGAACGATGTTACCGGTGTTCACGGACTGCATGAGACTGGAAGCGGACCCGTCGAGTGAAGCGGACTAGAGAGGGACCAATCTAGAACAAAGCACAGCTAAAGGGGGATAGAAGAGCTAAAACACAACATGTTAGGTCCGATGGTCATCCCAATAATACATCATCCAAAATAAAAGAAAACAAACCAAAACCCAACCGGTTTACAATCCGACTCAAAACAAAAGAAAGAGATTAAAACCGTGGCGGGGTTGCCTCCCCACAAGCGCTTCTTTACCGTCTTTTAGCTGGACGTCCATGGTGGATACTTAGGGAGGTGTAGGAACAGGTGCCTCCAAGAGCGGATCCACGTCGCTCTTGAGGTACAGCTTCAGGTTGTGGCCATGCACCCGACAGATGCGACCACCATCATAGGTCAGCTCGATCTGGCCATCCGGCAAGATGCAGGCGAGTGAGTACCCGGACGGCCAGGGTGGTCGTGGTGCAGAGGTGGGACAAGCTCATAGTGGTCTCCACCTTTCTTCCGAACGGGCTTAGCCACCTGCGGCTTCGGCCGCCACTCCTCCTTGAGCTTTTTGTTCGGAGGCGAGGCTGGATGGAGTGGCGGCGAAGGAATGATAGGAGGGTCCTGCAAAATGAGAGGTGTAGAAGGATACACGACAGGCTCGTGTACCTGATCAGAAATGGCATGCACAGGTGTGACAGCAATCATAGCACAATGATCGAATTTAGTCACAGAAAAAGTAGCTTGTTCATTCCCAGCACGCAGGATCAGTTTACCATCATGCTCATCAATAAGTGCCTTGGCGGTGGTAAGAAATGGTCTACCCAGAATCAAAGGCACATCCACATCCTCATGTATATCAAGAATAACAAAATCAACAGGATATGTGAATGCACCTACATTAACAAGCATATCCTCTATAATCCCCCTAGGATGCACAATGGAACGATCAGCTAGCTGAATGCTCATCCTAGTAGGGCTAAGTTCACCTAGGTCTAGCTTTTTATACAACTTATATGGCATGACTTGCCTACATGCATGCTGCCAATAGAAAGAGGGATAGTAAAACTCCCTGGGTCCTAGCGCTTTTCGGGCAGCTTGTTATGCAGGATAGCAGAACACTCCTCGCTCAGCAACACCGTCGAGAGATCCCCAAGTTTCTTCTTGTTGGTGAGGAGATCTTTCATGAACTTCGCGTACTTGGGCATCTTTGACATTGCCTCCACAAACGGTATGCTAATGTTGAGCTGCTTCAACATTGCCATAAAATTGGCAAACTCAGTCTCCAACTTGTCTTTGTGTAGGCGAGTGGGGAAGGGAAGCTGGGGTACATGCTATCCTTAACCACTGGTTGTGGCTTGGGAGCAGGGGCTTCCTTCTCCACCCGCACTTCTGCATCGTCGGCTGGAAGTGCTGAAGCAGGTAGTGGTTCCTCCTGCCTGGCCGGGACAGGATCAGCAGATATGGTCTTACTGCTCCTGGTAAAAATGGCATCCAACTGATGGTGCGGCTCCCGTGGATTGGGGATGGTAGTGGCAGGGAGAGTTCCCGGTGCCCTGGTAGTGTTTTGGCGGGCCAAGATGCCCACCTGGTTCTGCAGATCTTGCAAAACGGCACCTTGGTTCCTCTGACCTGCCTCCAGTGAGGCTATGCTCTGGTCCAACCTCATGATAGTTGCCTGAGTGCTAGTCATAAATGAAGCTAAAATATTTTCCAGCTTCGTCATCTGATTATTTGGAGTCGGAGCTGCTGCTGGCTCGGCATACTAACGCTGGGGCTGCTGGAATGGTTGCCCCTGCCTAGGCTGGTAGGGCTGGTGCTGTGGGGCTGGCCCCTGTCTAGCCTGGAAAGGCTTCCTCTGCTGAAAACCACCAGCTGGTGCTGGGAAACCAGGTGGTTTAGTGGTGTTGCTGCTCCAAGAGAAATTGGGATGCTGGCGCCACCCCTCATTATATGTATTGCTGTACGGGTCGAGGCGCCGAGCATTGGCGATGAACTCCAACTGCTCTTGGGGAGTAGTAGACTCCCTCATACCCTGGCAGTCTTCCACTAGGTGATTTGAGCTCTCACACCACTGACATTGAGCTACTCGAGGTGTAGCCAAACCTCTGCCTGGAATAAGACTGTTGGGCTGCTTCAATGTCTGCACTAACTCAGCTACCTGCTGCTCGAGCCCGGATCTGGTCTCCATGGCGTGCACACCACGGTCCCGGGAATGTCTGCCTCTGCTGCTCTGCCCCCAAGAATGATCTCTGGCAGCCAATGTATTTATCATCTGGTTCAGCTCGGGTGGAGTCTTAGTAAGAGTATCCCCTCCTGGGCATAGAGACTCAATCACCCTCTGGCTGTCCGGAGTGAGAGCACTGTAGAAGTTCCCCACTGTGAATGCATCAGTGAAGCCATGATGGGGACACTGCCAGAAATATCCCATGTACCGCTCCCAAGCATCTCGAAGTGACTCGTCAGGCTCTTGGCGAAAGTGAGTGATCTCCCGCTGGATCTCTGTAGTCTTCGATGCCGGATAGTACATATGCACGAATTTGTCAGCCAGATCGTCCCAAGAGGTGATGGACAATGGGGGCTGGGTCTCCAACCACCTCTTAGCATTCCCCGCCAGAGAATGGGGGAAAAGGTGAAGGCGGATTGCATCATCGGGGACATCGTTCAGCTTGAACCCGTTCGTCAGCTGCAGAAAACGGAAAAGATGTACCCTGGCCTCCTCGTCCTTCAAGCCATGGAACTGGATAGAGGATGTAATGAGCTGAATCCAGCATTGCTTGATCTCGAAGTTGTTTTCTGGAATAGGCAGGTAGAGGATGACCGGGCGGATGTCAGCAATCCGTGGAGTGTAGTAGTACTCCAAGGTGGGACCCGGCGGCGGTGGATGATGATGAACCCCATCTGCCTGGGGGATGGGGTTGTTCCCCAGGACCTGATTCACCAGGGGAGCCAGCTGAGGATTCCCCTGGTGTGGATTGTAATCTCCGTCCATCCTGTACTCTTCCTCAGAATCGCTGCTCAGGTGGCCGTCTATGCGCTCTTCCGTAGCCAGTCTAGCTCGTTGTTGTCTCCAAAATTGGCGACAGGTGCGGTCAATCTCTGGATTCAACGCCAGTAAACATCCCGACTGGCTACGGGTCATGCACTACCTGCACACACTCAAGCAAGCAAACCCGTGAAGGCACAAGTGGGACAAAGCAAACAATGCGAAAAGAAAAGCTAAATTAACAGAAATCACTTTTCTTCAACAACCTAGCCGTCCCCGGCAACGGCGCCAAAAACTTGACTCACTCCTACTGTCACTCTAGGAATTGGTCAAGTGTAACCACTTCCTAAAGCGTAGTATAGCGGGTTTGGGTTTTAATGTCAACCCGGGTCCTAGATTTGATGACTACTCGGTGAATTCTCGTTATCTAGCAATGAAACTTTAGTGCAAGTCTAAACTAACAAACAAACAACGCAAGTAAACGGTTGTTTTCAGGTTAAGAGAGGTCACCCGGATATGGTTCCCCCTAGACTGCAGTTAAGCCGGATTGCAATTACCAAGTTCAGTTTCTATGATAGTTATACTGCGGAAGGTTCTTAAACAGCCTGAAGTCTCGACTAAAGGTCTTCAGACCCTCTCAATTTGAGTCTCTAGCGGGCGACTAACCTCCACCGGAGTAAACAGATTGAGGCCCTAACGAACAAAACCTCCACTACCGAAGTGAATTCGGTACAGAATAGTGAGTTGGCTCCTCGACTAAAGTCACCAACTCCCTACCTTCAATCA